GCATTCCAATACATGAGTTGGGGAAGATAATCTTGTCTCACAGGTTTGCTGTGAGAATTGAATAAAACATATGAAAGGTAAAGCAGTGTTAACACATAGTTGGGTGCTCAGTACATGCCATCGCCACTCCTCTCTCTCATACATTCATCTATAATCCATGATTTAGACATGCCAATCATATAATAATCAAACTGTTTGGATCCCAAGAATATTGGGGTGACATTGGTTAATAACCTTATGCAGGGTTCAAGTGATCAGCTCTATAATATATCTGTATATTGCATCATGTATTTACCACCCAAAGTTATATCTCCTTCCCTCACCATTTATCCCCATTTTACCTCTTCTATCTCCCCCACTCCTCTTTTCCTCTGACAACACTGTTGTGTCTGATTGTTTTGTTTTTGCTTAATCCCTTCACCTTTTTTCACCCAGTCCCCCAAACCTTTTCCCCCTCTCACATCTGTCTGTTCTCTGTATCTATGAGTCTGTTTTTATTGTGTTATTTTATTTTGTTCATTTGACTCCACATATAAGTGAAATCACATGGTATTTATCTTTCTCTGACTGGCTTATTTCATTTAGCATAATAATCTTTTAAAATATACTAAAACTCTAAGATTGGCACTATTATAGGATGTATTTGATTCTTTTGCTCCTCTGCTCATATTCTGAATACCTGAGTGTCTTTTGAGCATATTAATATGTCATACTGTAGTAGTATTCAATTTGGGCATCTCTTTGAGCTCCAACCCTACATAGTTATTCCTCCTCATCCGTAAGATCTAAGCTTTAATATCAATTCCACAGTAAAGTTATCCTTCCTCTCCCCAACTAGGTCAAGTCCCACTTTTATATACTCCCACCATGCTACTGTATAAACATTTTGTTTGTAACTATGCAGTTCTGCAGTCTTCATGGTTTATAATCGTATTATGTCTGTGATTATTTAATACTAGGGGCCTGGTGCACGAAATTCGTGCACTGGGTGTGTGTGTGGGGGGGGGGAGTGTCTCTCAGCCCAGCCTGCCCCCTCTCACATACTGGGAGCCCTCAGGCGCTGACCCCCGTCACCCTCCAATCGCAGGATCGGCCCCTTGCCCAGGCCT